ACAAAGACAGGGGGAGAGAGATTGTGTGGTTATGTGCTCGCGTGCGTGTGTATGTATACGGAAGAGTAGGAGTTTATGATAAATATTTAGATATCAAACGAATTCTATATATTATTCTATTTCAAACATCAAGGACTCGATATTAATGAGCAAACCATTTCATATAAGTGATTAAATATTGCATTATTGTTTTATAAAAACAAATTATTCTAGACTTTTGTTACAAAAAATTATGCAGAAAAATTAAAAAAAAAAAAAATAATTTGATGTTTGATGAACATTGTATTTTCCAGCTGAATAAAATTTGTCCTTAATAAGAGTGAAAAAACATTAGTTAGAATTTGAAAAATATAAAGACTATCTAGAATATTTTTATAGAAGATATTTAAGATTTTATACTTTAAATAAAATACTTCAATAATTAATTAATTAATTATAATTAATAAACAATAATAATTTATATATTTTCAATTCAATGCCATATTAAAAAGTAATATATATTACAATATTTATAGAGTTGATACAAGCCCATACATTTAAAAATTTTCAGATAGTTTATTTTTGATTAAAATCATATTTCTATTCAAATATGCGGTTAATTAAATCTTTAAATGTTTATAAATCATACTATTGATTAATTGAACAGGCATCGATACAGTAATGAAGATAGTTGTACTATGTAAACGACATTTAATTAAAAATTTCTCAAAGTTGTTTTTGGATATTCGTTTATGTAAATTTATATCCAATTTCTGAAGTTTTTATTCAACAAGACGGACCTCGATATTAGTATTCAATAATGTTCTTATATACTGTAAATTATTATAATAATTGAATAAAGTTTTAAAGAAACAATAGTTTTAAAAGTCGTTCTCAATATACTATACAGTAAAGCGGCTTTATTTACGTAAATGTAATATATAGAAATTTATAAAACAGCGAAAAAATATAAAAAAAATTAAAATATGGATCATGAAAAATAATTAAAACACATGAATTTGAATATGTTTTAGTAATTTAAAAAAAATTTTAATAGGACAAAACCATGTTTTAAATATATAGTAGATTATATGTACCTAAATATACATTATGTAATCGTAATTATATGCAAAAAATTTAAATAAAAGGTACCATTGAACTATTACTTTATTATCATCATCGTCATCATCGTCGTCATCATCGTCGTCGTCGTCGTCATCATCATCATCATCATCATCATGATCATCATCATCATCATCATCATTTGAATAATGACAATATATTATTATAATTAGTATTTCAAATGAAGTTTGTTGTATGATATTGAGAATTTTGTAATAATCATGTATATAAAAGTCATATAAGGAAAGAAAATCCTATGTCTATAAATATTATTAATTCTATAATTATTTAATAAACGCTAAAAAAAGTACTATAATTTTTTTTACAATTTAGCTTGTATTCCATTTTCATTACAGCAATTTGGTTTATGTGCATCACTTATTTAATTTTTAATTTTGTAACTACGTTGTATATTTTAAGATGTAATTAAATTAATATTTTCATCTATAATGTTATAATTCTTGTAAATTAACTGAAAATGCTTCGTTAAATATAACTTTTATGCATTTCATTATATTATAAATTATAGAAATTTATTATCTTACATCCGAATATATATTGCTGATTATAATCGATTATTTTACAAGCAATTTTTCTTTCTATATATTTAATAATGTTTTTCTATTTACGTAAATGGACTTTTTTTTTTACGCTATATGTAATATAAAACTGATGAAATATCTCATTTTTCTTTGATAAAAACTTTTGACAAAACTTCAGTGCAGGCCATTAACTGAAAATTTTTTTAGTAAATGGATTTGGCTTTAAGAAAATTCTATTTCACAATTCAATGCATTGTTGCGAAGCCCAAGTAAGTCAATAATATCTCACAAATATTCCTAATACTTATATATATATATATATATATATATATATATAACATTTTACAAAATATCTAATACCTTATAAATAAAAAAAAAAAATTTTCTATATGATATTTTCTATATAATCATTATTTATATTTTGTATACTGTATAAGAGCAAATAAGATCTGATAAAATTTTAAATATATGTCACAAAGTGAATAGTTTATAGTGCTTCATTAGTTACAATCATAGGCTCATACGTAATAACTATTGCTGTTATAATATTTTTCTTTTATACATATATTTATACATATTTTATACTACAGAATAATTTATATGTCGCAATTAAACAGGTGTGTTAAATTATTAATAGTTACATTATATAAATAATAATATATATAAATATATTATTATTAAATAATAAATAATAAATAATAAATATATATAAATAATATAAATATAAATATAAATAATATAAATATAAATATAAATAATATAAATATACAACATATATATAAGTAACTATTTATTTTTATTATATAAAGCTTTAAACAATTTCAGTAATATTATAATTCATGGAATGTAAAATAACATATATTTTTATAAAAAATTGTTAAACGTATGGCAACACTCTAGAAAAATAAAAGATACAAGGTCTATTATGCAGCAAACGTACCCAATTTCGGCATATTATCCTCACGCAAATGGCCAGCCATGTTTCTCGGACAAGACATGAATTTTTGTAATCTTCTGCTCTCCCACCCGCTTACTCTTTATTTCTATACGCGGAATATACTTACGCGGAAAAATTCTCGTCGTACACATAGTCCTTTAACTCTTGTGTTCGCGCGATCAGGCATCACTTGTATCTCTCGCGTGTTTATTCGTAAAAGAGGAGTATGAGAAAAGTTGAGACTGGCACGTAGCCATGGCTCATAGCATAGGCGGTCGGGACGAAAAATGAAAAGAGAAGAAAGCTAGTATAGGTCGCATCTACTTATGCTTTCACGTTATCATGGCCCTAATAGCAAATGCCACTACTCAATGTCCCATCTTTTGAAGCTTTTAATGAAAACGATAAGGATGATACGGATCTCTCACCACGTTCGTCCTCGTGACAAATCACTTAAGAGGCTTGTTATCCTTCACAGGAATCGGCACGCGAGACTTTAGTTTAATGTATGTATTTATGCCGGTTTTGAAGCTACGTTATAATCGTTATGATGATAGAAAATTGTTGTATGCATTTTCTCCTTGAATTGTGTATAATCTTTCGTGTGGCATTAGGGAATAATCGTTCCGTAATTACTTCAAATTAACGAAAAGTATTAAGATATCATTTTACGACGTTGAATTTTCTTTTTTACGTGCTCGTTCGTAAACAATAAATTGTAGATTTTTTTTTTTTTTTTTTTTTTTTTTTTTTTTTTTTTCATTATAAATAAATTATATAAAATACAAGCCTAGTTTAAGCTAATTTCATTCAATTAACATATTTACAATACTTTGGAGAAATTAGGAAAAATGTTTTTTATTAAATTATTCATAGTTAATTATAGGGTTTTTTTTTCTTTCTTTTTACAATAAATATATTTAGTAAGTAAGTTTATTAACCAATTATTAACTTTTGCATACTATTCACAATCATAGATAGTTAAAAAAAATCTACATTTTTCTCATTTTGATTAGAAGAATAGTGAAATTGTTCTTCCAATGACATTTACATCTGCAAAGAAGCATTTTGATTCATTTGTATGGGTTCATTCATTTGTAAAGAGAATTAGTATTTTTGACAAAAAGATGTCGAATGAAACGTTGGATTGTATTATTGGACTCCCATAATCCAAATCTGTTTTAATATTATCTCGACGATTATTATTTATTCGTCATGTTCGAATTGAATTAATTTGTAAATCAGTGTCTTGTTATGCTATGCAATTATTAATATGATAAATACATAAATTAACGAATGCCACAATTACAATTTAATACAAAATATTTACAATTCCAATTTGTATTTATATCAGTAATATTTATATTAGAAATGAACGGATGAATATTTCCAAGGCATTTGTGACTTGTTTATATATACGCGACTATAGCTTCTTTAAAGTTTTATGCTCGAGAGAAACTGGCAAGAAAAAACAACCGTCTACCCAAAAAATTTAAAGACCAAGACTTTACGAATTCTCGACCTACATTCACACATATAGTGCGGATTTTAAAATTTTCGTACACATTAGTACGAACAAAGTATTAAAATTTGTTAAGATTTTTTATTCAATTAGTTTTATTTCATTATAATGATATCATATTCATAAAAATAATATTTTACAAACATTGATAGCGATAAGAAAGATTATAAATGAATATTGATAAGTAAATAAGTATGCACAAGTCTAGACCTAAAGGCACCATAAACTATTTTAGTTATACTGACAATAATCATTAAAAGCATTAGTCATTGGCTGCAAAAGTCCATCTTAAACAAATTTGAAAGATTAATTATAATATAATTTAAAACTAATCCTAGATTTATAAGCGTTTTTAATTTCAGTTTGAAATCATTGTGAATGCTAATTCCATTACTATAATTATATTTTATCAAAGTTGAATAATTCTGAAAACTTTAAATTATTTCAAAGAGCGAGTCTTACAATATCTTAAGACATATCATGCAATTGTAATTATACTAAACATATGATAAATTTGATTATTTTTTTTTTCAATGACTATAAATATATATCCCATTATTCTTTAATATAAATATTCGATTTTCTCTGACTTGGTTAGCTAACTTTATTAAATATTCAATTATTTTAAATGCCATTCGCAAAGTTCAATTCTTACCATATTCTTGATTAAAAAAAGGAAAAAAGAAAAAGAAAAAAAAATGCAATGCCCTTCTTTCAATATCATCATTTCAAAGCTTCATGCCGAGCTTACAAAATAGGGCTTACAAATATACATACATATCTATAATGTATTATTTCAAATTTCTGTTGATGATTATGATAATAATAATGATTATAAATATGTGATAAGGCGAAACTAACTAACTCGTTAAGGCCATAAATAACTTTTTCAGGCACTTGTACATACCAATAGTCGAGATGGGATACAGCAAGAATATAGCAAGCGTAACGGTCTTCTTTATCAGCGCTTTCTTTCATGAGTATCTTGTTAGCGTACCGCTAAAGACTTTCAAGATCTGGGCGTTCATGGGTATGATGGGCCAGGTATGCAAGAAAAATGCATAGTTTCTTATCCCGAGGTTGCTATGCTTTGGATCTTTTGAGCAACGAGACGCGTTGCGCTAGTTTTCATACACTTTTATCCAAGCGTATGCGGCATAGAATACAAAATTTTCTAAGCTATAATCAATTACTAATTTTAAATTATTAAGAAATTAATGATGTCACAATTGAGATAAGGTATACGTCGGTAATAATATTATTTTTACAGTTTGCAATCTGGCAAGAACGGCTGAAGATTCATTAATTTACTTAACGTTCAATTAAAATTTATAAAATCGATTTTCTTATATTTAGTTTATAATTTTGATTTTCCATTTAATTAAATTAATGATACATTAATTATAAAAAAAATAGTAATGTTATTATATTTCTATGCTTAGAGTAGTGGTGATACATAATTTAGAGATATTTTTATTTTTTTTTTTTAATATGTAAACTTAAATAATTAATAATCAAAATGTCAATCACACGTATGTTTGGGCAATTTATTTTTATTTTTAATATTCCTAATTATCAGTATTTATTAAATAAAACTATATTGGCAAATTATTATTATTATATATTAATATATTTGTGCTTTCGATGATATGTCGTAGAGTTTCATGATTCGAATGGGCGAATATAGGATGAAAAATAAATAACTATTAATAACTTTTAAACATTTATTTAAAACATGAATTTTGAAAAATCTGTTAGCGAATAAACCTTTTTCTTTACATAATAATCCTATTTCGAATCTCTTGATTATCTTACTAATTTATGATTCTCATAGTGTGATGGAGTATAAAATTTTATTAATATATGATATATAATATTATGGAAACGAAAGATATATAAAGGAAATAATTAAATCGACGATTTCAAATTAAATTCTAATATAAACTAGAGTTTTTGCCGTTTATTGTATTCCGTATGTAATTGCTTCGTTACGTCTGTATTTAAGTACACTAACATATTCAGATGACTTAATCATTAAAATACATATAATGCCACGATGAATCTAATTGATAATTAGGTAATGTCGGCGCACACAAGACATTGATCAACAAAATGAAAACGTACAAGCTTAATTATATATAATTATTTTTATTATTTATTATCATTTATTACCCATCAAAAATACCAAGAATTATGCTTAATTTTAAATATTCTATTCTATTCAGTCATAAAGAAGTGGTTAAATTATTATTGTATTAATATTAATATCGAACAAAGCAACTTGGTTTATTTCAAAATTGTGCATGTTAAACGAATAATTATTATACATACATTTATATTTACAAAAAGATGATTACGGATGTTGAAAGTAAATAATAACCACTGACGATTCGACTCGAAAATCTGAATTACTCAACGTACAATTGACATTTATCGATTAAAATAAACGAACCAATTGCATGACAAAATGTAAAGTAAATTAACACGAGTCTGTATCTGTATATTGTCTATTAACAGATTCCTTTGTCCGTGCTGAGCAAATACGTGGAGAGGCAATGGGGTGCCAGATGGGGTAACATCGTCGTCTGGGCCAGTCTAATTATCGGACAACCTCTCTGTATCATGATGTATTACCACGATTATGTGGTCACCCATTTCGGCGAGACTCTGCTCGAGGATTACTCAGTCGTGTAGCGTGTTGTGAGGTGGCCAACGAAAAAGAGAGGAAAAAATAGAAAGAAGAGGCACAAGGGCCGACTAGTGATGCCCTTTAGCGGCTGCCGTCGTCGTCGTCGTGATCGTCATCGTCATCGCCGTGCCGAACATCTCATTTTGCCCGTCTTTTTCTCGCTACGTCCGCGACTCACTCGATGCTTTTCATTTCTGAAAAATCTAATCAGACGCAAAGAAAGGAATCGCTTTACTCGCGACATCTTTTCCGCGATCGTCGGTTTTTTTTTTATTTCCGCGCCACATACACCCCCACCCCCACCCCCACCCCCCGCCCCACTATGCGTCGTGGAGCGCTGGCAAGTGCACCGACAACAAAGCGAAATTCCAAATTACGGATGTAATAGTTCACGGGTAAATGATTGTTGTCACCTTGAATTACATTCTATCGAGTCTCCCTCTCTCTATTCCTACGCAGGGTAAATTATGTTTGAATCACGGCCATGATGACCAATGCTATTATTATCTTTTAAATTTTTTAGATGATTAACTATAGTTTACAGTTGTAGCACTGTTCACTTATAGTTGCACTTTTATATGTTTCTCATTCGATATTCTGTAACGTAAATGTAGAGAATTGTATATGGCAAATTAGAAATATTTGATGGTTACATTATATTACCATATTGTCGTATCTGTAGCTTCGGTCATTTATGAAAAACAATGCATTTTCCATACATAATAAAAGAAGATATATAATTTTCGAATTAGAAATTAAATTTGCTAATTGCTCTTTCCATCATTTCTATAGAAAATTAACAGTATACTATAGACTAGCAATTATGAATGGCGAATTAGGTGGATGGAATAATAATGTTAAGAATATACGGATACACTTTAAAACAAAACAAAACAAAACAAAAAAAAAAAGAAAAGAAAAGTAAAGAATTTTAACCACGCGTTGCGTACGACGTCTAGTGCCTTAAATTTTTCATCCACTCATGTATCACGAGCGATGAACAAAGCCGACGAGATTTGTAAATAAACGCAATTTATTTCTACAATATAGAATGAAAGAGAGCATGTGATGGCGAATGTTTTCCGTTAGAATTTAAGAGTTAAGAACAGCAACATAATGGAGTTACCGAAACACGTATTTTAATACTTTGTACGCTTAACAGAGAAGAGTCTTATGTATTTCAGAAATATCTATTATCGTCTGCTACTGAACAATATAATAATTTTACTAACTTTTTTAGAAACGGAGATTTTTATGATTTTGTAAAAAAAGCAAGGCATTAGGTACAGAACGAACTGAGAAAGACTGTCTGCTCTTTATATTGTTCATAATAAATTTTCTATTTTATATATACAAGTATGAGAAATGCAAAGTGAATCGCGCCCGGAATCCGTGTATACCCTTGATTCAGTTTGAAATTGCCAGGAAAACGCACTTTACCATATCCGCGTGTGGAGTATCGAAGGCAATAAGGAATGAGAAGAGAGAAAAGTAACGAGTGAAAGAGAAGAAAAAAGTCCAGGTAAAAGTTTATTTTGTTACCAAGTACGTAGGAAGCTTAAATAAATTTTGACTTTTTTTTATATATGTGCACACGTACAAATACACACATATGATACGATAATGAAATAACTTCTCATTTCTCCTCGTCAAAGTATACATACATCTTGTAGACTTGAATGTAGGTCTAAAATAAATACCTTTTCTTATTATATACTTGGTAGTTTTACAGCAAAGTTATTTCGCTCGTTGAACATAAAGTTTACGACCTCAAGCCATAACATTGTCATAAATATGACAAGTAAAAAAAAAAAAAAAAAAAAAAAAAAAAACAAAAAAAAACAAAAAAAAAAGATTTCCGTTGCAGAAATAAAAGTATTTGTCACAATAATTGAGAAACCATGTTTTGGAAACAGATACAAAGTAAAATTTAAAAAGCTACCAATCGTATTGGCGTTTTATTTTATTAAAAATGTTTCTTTCATTTTAACAAATATGAGATTCGCATGACTTCACGTTTTATTTTTTGTTACCATAAAGTTTGTTACATTTTTAAGCCATTTTATTTTTAACGAATTTATCAATTTCTGTATTTAAAAACTTCTCTATTTAAAAACTAAATATTGTTATAAAATAAAAATGTATTTATTTTGTTTCTGATAATTTTTTTGTTTATAATAGATTTATCTTGCTCCCTCTAAACAATTATTTATATGTAAATAAATAAATAAATAAATAAATAAGTAAAAAAAAAAATATATATGGTAAATACCTCGGACTTATAAATTGGTCTTTGTATTTTGTATTTCTTTTGCAAAATATAATAAATATAAATATATTTTATAAATTTAATTTTAAACTTTTTTTTCTTCAAATTTAATGCTATATTTATTATTATTTTCGTTAAATGATCTCTAATGCGTAGAATAATAATTAATATATATTTACATACAATTATATAGTTTTTGCGATAACTACACCATTTTCCTATACTACGTCGTATTGACCACTTCCTCTCTCACCCCAACCCCTTGCGCGACAACCTTGCGTCACCCTTATGGAAGCTTTTTGCTCCTTATTACTTCTAGTATTTATAATTTTCCTCCTTATATATCTACATTGTAGGTCCTACTAGAGTCATATTAGAGATTGTTTCCAAGCTCATCAGCTTAAGGTGCACATCCGGTCAACCATTGAAGTTCATACCGCAGCCAAAGCTGCTTATTACTTTCTTGTAAGATCTTAGACGACTGTAGTTACCTCGTACATATTTCCAATTAATATATTATTCAGTACTTCGTCTATGATCAAATATACCACATAAATTTTTTTTATAATTAATATTTATATATTCGATATAAGTTATTTTAGATTTTCTCCAATATAATGTGGTGATTGGATTAGCTGTTCAGTTGACTAGCGGAGTTTTCAATGAAATATTTTAAAAAAGTCAAAATATGTTTGACATAATAAAAGAAATTCGATACAATTATATACAATTACATAGAGTATAAAGCATAAATTAGTTAGCATTTCATTACAGTGCACGATGTAAGAAAGAAAAATATTTCGAGTCTTTACTTTTAATGAATGTAATCTGTAGAATTATTTAAATTTGCAAAATTATAAAGCCATTTAAAAAGCCCTCCATAAGATTTTCATTCTAAATTAACGATTTCAATCGAATATATTTCGTAACAAATTTTATGGCTGACAAAAGGTAAGTAACTTTAATGTTCATTCTTATCTAATAACGTGAAATGTTAAAAAAAAAGAATAACACATGTTATTTTCTAAATATAGATGTATATATATATATATATATTTAGTTCTATGGAATTATTCCGTATGTTAAGATTAAAATTTTAATTACGATAGTTAGTGTCTAATACTATATCAAATTAATTAATTATAAGGATGATTCTTTTTAAAATTTGATACTTGCATTTTTATATAATTTTCGATTTATTAGATCGTAATGAAGAAATTGCTAACCATACAATAAAATGATTATTTTCACAATATAGAAAAACCATACTTTGTGTTGGCATCTGATAAATACTTTTTATCAGTTTTATGAAAATATATATTAAATTTAAAATAAATCTCATAATCTATAAAAAAAAGTAAAATTATAATTAATTATTTGGTTTTAAAAACTATCTTTATACGTTTATCTTATAAAATCTAAAGTTTATGTTTCTTATCGCTTAAAATAATTGTCGATTAATTAACAAAACAGTTTTTACAATTGTCGAATGTTATTGGAAAATTATTTTTTTAATAATGGTAAAGAGTAAAGAGTAATTAATAATGGTATTAGGAAGATTATAGAAGATTATTAATATAATTTTACAGTCAGATACAATAAAGCTGTATGAATGCCTTTTGAAATAATTGAATATAGAAAATATATATATCGTGTATTGCATTTATGTACCTTGTAACACTTACTTACTTAACTACAAAAATACATGAGCACAAAAATTTAGGGACTATGAAGCCGCGTGTATTATTCGTGAAAGTATTAAGTGAAGAAAAGCTAGCACGAAAGGGAATTCAATATTATCATTCCAGTGACTAAAGGTCTTTTTTGATAAGAGAAAGGTTGGTAAACAAAAGATCCTTTAATCTCTTTTACACTTACCGTACCGGGACATTCATAGTCACGTGTGCCTTTGTCTTGTCTAGGTACAATGGATAAATTAATAATAATATGGGAGTCGTCGAGGAAGGGAGAAAGCAACGCGCGTTTACGTTAGTGCAATACCTACGACTCGAGATTATGGGATTTTCAATCCTGTTGTCAAAAATATGACGCGCGTGTGTAGAAATCGTCTTGCGTTTTACCCGTTGCATTTTAATCGTCGTTATTTTAATTACTTCGCGTGTTTTCTCGTTCTCGTAAAAATTACACGATTCCATTTTTCTCCTTCCAACCTCTTGCAAGATTATCTTCCTGGATGTAAATGAGGAGGGTCTTGCGAGTTAAGTTGTGAGCGAGAAATCCTTGACGATTAGACAAACAAAATATTACCGGCATTTATTTCATTCACGAGGATAATGTTCTTTGTCCTTGAATCTTTTCTTGTCATACCGGGGGCACATTTTTATAAAAAGAAATACGCTTGATAGCATTTTTGGTTAGGGTACTATTAATACTTTCTGGCTCCTTGCTTTATGTTGGCAGGGCTGCTGCTATTTATTTTTAAAGATATATACGTATTACTTGTTTGGCTCTTTTCATTTACATACACAACGATAATTTCATGAAATCTACACTCTCTAAAAGAAACAAAGCAAAATTCACCATATACACAGATAGCATGCTCACCCACACGCATACGTGGTTACGTAAATAGTTAACATATATAGTTAAAATAAGTCACTAATTTGCTAAAACTAATGTTACTACTTTAATTCTATCATTTATTAATGGAATGTTATCATCATATATTTATATTATAACAATTTTTAAACTCGTGAAGAACCTGCTTAATTCATTTTGTTGCAA